CTTTAAAGAAAGAAAGAAAGATCACTGATTTGACATCAAGAACATATGTACCAACGGGAGGGTACATATATTCCTGATAGCAGTACCAACAAATGTATAGGTTACCAATATGCTGGTATCACAGTGTTGTCACCATTTTACTAGATTATAAAGATGAAATATCTAATTTCTTAAAATAGGTATATACCCTCTGTCTATAAATAGTGCAAAAACAAAGAGAGTGTCTATCTCATGCAGATGGCCTGATTCGTTAACCTTTACTCATGTGAACAATGTATGCAGGATCAGATGTATATTTTGCATCTATCAGTTGCCTTTAATATCATCACTCAAAGGATGGACAAGCTGCATTTGGTAAAGGTGGATTAGATTGTAGAGGGGAAATACAAAGTTATGCAGCTCACATTCCAGAATAATTGTTTGATAAGCAACTCGCCAACAATTTTCAAAACTCCCTTGTGAAGGATTCTTCAAAGTTTCATTGTCAGACTTTTTTTCCTCCAAAGGTGTGAGGGGGGGTGACAGAGAACACAAACATTTTTCTCTTATGTTCTGATGAGAATTAAGGCTATGTTTATACTGCAAAGATATGGCGACGAAAGTGCTGTCAACACGCAAAAGTCGCCAAAAGTTAAAAAGCCGTCAAATCGGTTTTTCTGCTGCCCACTGTTGACATGTCATGGCCACATTGCTAGCTCCAGTGTTCACAAATAGAGGAAAGCAATGTGGGTAAGCATCTCCCAGTGTCTGGCGTCACTGTGGGAACATGCAACATTGCGCTATGCATTTTGGGAATGTGACCTCTTTGCTTCCCAGCATGCCCATCTTACTTTTGTGTCACTTCAAAGACAGCCCTTGCTGCAAACTCCAGCATCTGCCATGAGAAAACATGGTGCCCACAGTTCTCATGTTGTGATCAATGTGCTTAAGACATTGCACCACAGCTACTTCTTGATTTAATATTTGATGAGATCTTGGATGAGGACGAGAATGACACTCACGAACTAGCATTGCACTGGGCTATCACAGATCATCTATGAGCCACTGGCCGTTGCTTTTGGGCTAGGGAAACCAGCACTGATTGGTGGGACTGCATTCTCATGCAGGTGTGGGAGGAAGACCAGTGGCTGCAAAACATACAGATGCGTAAAACAACCTTCCTGGAACTGTGTAATGAGCTGGTGCCTGAACTGCGGCTCAAGGACACTTGAATGAGAGCTGCTGGCTTGGTGGCCAAGTGTGTTGCCACAGCTGTAGGGAAGCTGGTGACTCCCGATTGCTACCATTCAAGTTGCAAATGAGTTTGGAGTGGGGAGGTCTACTGTCAGGGCAGCACTTCTGCAAGTGGACAGGCCAATAAATCACATTTTGCTGTGTAGGATTGTGACTCTGGGAAATATGGAAGACATAGTGGCTGGGTTCGCTAACATGGGCTTTCCAAATTGTGTTGGGGCAATCGATGACACTCGTATTCCCAAGGTAGCATCCCCTACCTTGCCTCAGAGTACATCAATCATAAAGAGTACTTCTTCATGGTACTTCAGGGGGTAGCCAAGTTAGTCTGTTACAGAAAAAAACACCATGCAGATGGGCACAGCCCACTGTGCCCACAAGAGCTCATGATACAATCTACATGTTTTGTTAGTCTATAAAGTGCTACCGGACCATCTGCATGGTGCTTCAGGTGCTTGTGGATCACCATAGGCATTTTACACACACAAACGCAGGAGGGTCTGGAAAGGTGTATGATACACGGATCTTCAGGAACACTGGCCTGTTCAGAAAGATGCATGCTGGGTACTTTCTTTTGAGGCCAGAAAATTACAGTGGGAAATGCCCATAGAGATCTTAGATGACATGGTTTATCCATTGCAGTCCTGGCTCATGAAGCCTTACACTGGGCACCTGGAAACCAGTAAGGAGCAGTTCAACAACATACTAAGCCGATGCTGCATGGTTGTGGAATGCGCCTTTGGCAGACTGAGAGGGAAATGGCGGTGTCTGTATGGTAGGCAGGTCCCTTTGGAGGATTATATCTCCAAGGTGGTGACTGCATGCTGTTGCTTACATAACTTATGCGAGACTAGGGTGCGGCATTTGGCTGTGGGTGGAACAGAGAGACACAGTGCCTAGGCAATTTGAGCAGCAAGACTTTTGTGCCATCAGAGAAGACGACAGGGTGACTATCAGTATCAGGGAGGCTCTGAGGAATCATT